GGGAGAAGGTGATAGGAAATCAGAATGGGTAGAGCCAGGCCCATTGTAGATGCATGCATATGTATGCGTGTATGTGACACAACAACTCGGGCGGTGGAGTTGGCAGATGGCGCAAAGTTTGGGGTCTAAAGTTATTTTCTATTCTGCTGGGGAAAATGACGCAAACAAAACAATGCTCAGAAGATTAAATTCGTCAAACATTTTCACGCGGCGACCATCATAAATACGAGCCGTGAGCCCCGGCAGCATCTCTCTGGCCAGGTTAAATACATTGCCATGCAAGTGAGAGTTACTAGTAGGAGGAGAAGTATGGTACGAGAAGACTGGTGTGGCTGGTGGGGGTGGGGTACAAAAAAAAGAGACCTCTGTCCCCTTTGATTTTTTTTCCGTCGGCAAACGATATGGGTGGAAGAGAGAGAGAGAGAGCCCTTGCTGCTGGTGGCCGGGGTTTGTTTTGCGAAGCATTGCGAGGGGAAGGGGCATCGATGGAATTCTCCGCAGCACAACGGAACGCTTTCTTGTCTCGGCCATTACTTTGCTTCGGCGCAGCCGGGCTCTGCAGGGATCCGTGCAGTTCTGCTTGGATGCCTTTAAAAGGTGTCAAAGGAGAGCAGGGGAAGGGTTTGATGTTGCTCGGCAGCGGTAGCGGTAACCGCCGGATCCATCGCCTCTCCCATCCCTCACACCTTGTCCGTCTCCCCTTTCCCCCTGTTGGTCCCCCCTTCCCGGAGCCTCCCGCTCCCTCCCTCTTGTACCCCTCCACCTCCTCTAACTCCCATCCTCATCCCACTCTTCCAACACCATGGCCCCTTGCCCTCAGACACCCCATCTTGCCTCCCGAGTCCTCCCCGCGGCCCCTCACTGAGCAGCAGCGACGCTTCTCAGCGCCCAGGCCACGGACCGCGCACTCTCCGGATCCGTGCAGCCCCTGGCAGATTAACGATGTCAGTGGGGGGGGAGTGGGGGTGTGTGTGGGGGGGGGGTCAAAAGTGTGGAGAAAAAGGACAGGGCCTTATTGGTGCTCGTGGTAATGGAAACGGGGTGAGGGCTCACGCGCTCCTAAATCATGCATCGCCGACATCCGGCTCCCGTGCTGCCCCAGAGCGCGAAACGCGCGCGAGCCGGACAGCCGCCTCGCCCTGTGGGGGGATGTGCACGAGAAATTTGTGCGCGCACGGCACCTCGCCCAGCCATTTTGTCCACCCCTACCCCCCCCGACGTTACTCTTTGCCACTCGCTCCTCCACTTCGTGAGAGTTATTATTGGGAAGAAAGTATTCGTATCCGAGTCGAAGTCAAAGTGTCTCCCACTTGGCACGTGAGCGCGGGCCGATGTGCCCGTATCCACTGGCTCGAGCAGTCCCGAGCCGATGTTGTAAATTGCACAGTCCTATAGTAGGTGTGCAACAATGTGAATGTGATAATCACCATCATCATCATCATCGGCCTCAGACATGGTCAATCTACTGCTGGACGAAGGCTTCTCCAAGCTATTGTCACTTCTAATGATCCTGCGATGAACGTGGCATTTACTTTGACCCTCATAAGAGCCTATCGAGATCAAAAATATCTTTCGTCATGGGGGACCTAGACCACAACAAAATCGTAATGCAAGCGCATAAACAAACTGGCAAAACGTCTAACACCTTACACTTGCCATCAACACGAACGTAAAACAGTTCACGTTAAAACGACGAGTCACGGTAATTCGGTAAACGTAAATAAATCTAAAAACGGTAACTCGTTGCATTCACTCTGCTGTATACCTTGCTATTGTTCGCGTTCGTCAACAACCTGACGGAAAAATTCAGAGTCCTCATTCAAGCCTGCCGAAAATAAATAAATAAATCTGAATGTTAAATAAACGAATGCGAGCGGGACCACATTAGCGGCCGTTGCCCACGGTGTATTTTGACAGGGTTTGTGTGCGCACGCTTTTTCCCTTCCCTCTCTCGTATTCGTTACAACCTCCGCGCCGCTAAGTTTCGCCGGGGTCAAGTTTACGTCTGCCGTGCCTCTGGCCGTGGGCTCCGCCGTAAGGCAGCTCCCGCGCGCTCATAAAGCAACGACTTTGCGGGGCCCGTGGAGGTTTGTGGGGTTCGTGGCACCCGTGTGCACGTGTGGGAGAGGGTGACTCGGTCAAGGCATCGGTTTATTAAAGCCACCGCTGCCTCTTCCGCTGCCCCTTCTCCGCCAAGGCACCCTGTCGCATTCCCCGGCAGTGGATTTGCCCTGAGAGGGTGGTGGCGCCTTACTGAACCACGCCCCGCGGCTCGCCATCCAGGCCACGTGCGATCATCCGTCCATCACCTTCGTGGCGTCGTTCTGTGGGCCGACCCAGGGACACATGGAGGTGACAAATTCGCTGAGACACCGGCTGGGGACTCGACGTGGCCGACAGTGTCGCCCGAAGACGATTGTCTGGTTGGATGCCAAGGTCCTCGTCGACTTTGTGATTCTGATGATGATGAGGGTGACATGAATTTCGATTGAAAGCTTTCGTGACTGCAGGGATTCACAGTCTTGGTTCTTTTGGTAAAGTCACGTCGAAGGGAAATAATACAAATAAAACAATTACATTCTCCCGACGTTTCGATTGTAACACAAGCAATCATCATCAGGTGTGAAAACCACAGCAAGAAAATTAGAAAAAACCGCCACTTTTTTCAAATTTTATTGCTGTGGTTTTCACACCTGATGATGATGAGGGTGACACGGTTTAGTTGCACCAATGTCGATGCTGTCAGGAGTATTGCGAGTACGTCTGTCTTTATTGGACGTCGTTGCGTAGTGGCCACCGTACCCTATCGTCATCATCACTGAATATCTACATCACGCCTCCTATGCGGTGCATCTCAAGACGCCCTGTCGCAGTCTATCCAAGAGGGACCCCGGGTAAAAACTGTCCCTCTGCATTACTAGGTGGACGCAGCAGCGGCCTGCAAGTGGACATTAGGAGACGATGTAGTTTTTCCCGATTAAGTCATTCCCGAACAATCGATCAAATTCGGACCATGACACCAGCACGCGTGAAACTGAAACCACGAGACGCCCCCGGTCGTACGAGGGTGCTCGGAGCGTCGTATTTTCGATGCGTGTCGTCCGGATACATTTCTCCACACTTCTCGGTTGGCTGTGTTAGTTGCATTCCTCCTCTACAGTCGAGGGAAGAAGCTATCTCTCGACTCACGTGTGCAGACGCCGTTTTACCACCGCAGATGTTTCCACAGATATCCCACGCCAGAGCCAGCACCTAGGTGGTCTCCCTACACCGTGTTACACGATGCCCGTGTTGCCTGTTTTTTCAGGAAATAATATCCATTAGCCGTACATTTTTTTAGCGTTGGCTCATGCTCCTCTGTGAGTTGAGCAGATTTTCTATCCATCTGAGCAGTACCGTGGGGGCTGACCCACCGCGGGTCCTACCTTGGGCTTGTCACTACAGAGGGGCCGTGAGTAACCAACCGACCCTTCTTGGAGGCGGCGTCCTGAGCACCTTTAACGTGTCGCAGCTTTCCTCCTGGCAAAAGCCGAGCGGGCGGCTCGCCCGTGGAGAGGGCACGGGGCTGTTTGAGAACAACTCACAAAGTTGCAATTTCCCTGTCGAGCAACGATGGCAAAGACTGAAGCCCAAAAGTGCCGTCAGTGAAAATGCAGGGACGTGTAAAAAAATGTTAATATTTATAAATAACAAATTTCATTTTTGTTAAAATCCACCTTAAAATCAGTTAATCTGAATTGTTTCATTATTTAGTTTTTCTCAAAGATAGTCGACAACCGTTGAGCTGCAATCTCTCTTTTTGCTCAGGGGGCATCTTGACCCTTAAATAAGCCAACATTGTACTTTTCACGAATAATACGACAAAATGTCACTTTTCTCATATTATCATTTTCAGAAGCCTCCAGTTTACTTTTATATATTTTCAAGTAATCCGCACAAAATTACGATAGTTTTAGTAGGCATTTTGATTGGCTCGGAGATCTAATCGCCTTACACTGTGCAACAGCCATAGCTTCAGCACTCTGGGAGCTTGAAGCTATGCTCGGCGTGCATTGCGACAACGGCTTCCCCCGCCTCCGCTCGCGATGTCAAGGCCACTAACCGCTAAGCGGCTACTGTGCAGTCTGGTGTGACTAGGTCTCAGGCGCTGAATGTCTCCCTAAAGCCTCGCCGCATTCCCACCCAGCAACCTCCCTTAACTTTCTGGCTCCCCAAATCCCATGTAAACCCTGGCGCGTCTTGCCGAGGAGGTGCCGGATTACAGCGGCCAGGCGCTTCTCCCCGTTCCGTGCCATGCATTGCAAAGGTGACGGAGGTAACATCGCCCAGACACATCTGAGCGACTTTCATCCAATGCTGCTCACTGGCCCGTGGCGTTTTCCAAACTGCCGTATAAACGGTCTTACAGTGGTCATCATGTGGAGAGATTGGCGCCTGCGATTGGAATGTGAAATTTCCACTACCGACTGTATGTACGTTTCACTTCTTTCGCACCGTACGGAGCCGACCATGCTAATTGGAGGTGCAGGGGAAGGACAAAATAAACACTAAAACAATTATCAAAATTGAGTTTCAGATTTAAAAGTGCATAGCCTCAGGGGTTTCCGAATATAAAAAGGAAGAGTGTTCCAGACGGCCGCAAAAGCGCATCTGAAAGCACGTGATGCAGTGACTCTGTGCCGTCAATGGGAGGAACCACTTTGCTCGTTCGAGCAGGGAGATGTTTGACCGTGACTCGAATCATCCATACATTGTTGGTCGGTAACGATGCGTGATATCGATTAGTATGTTCGCAATGCATTTGAGCACGAGTGTGATTACTCACAGTTTGTAGTTTATATTAAAAGTTGTGAACTGTTGTGCACAACGTTGCCGGGAGATTCTTCACACCGCATCTCGATCAACGGCAATTCAGTTCATTGCCCGTGCCGGACGACAACGACGACGATGTATTTCTACAAATGCCCTTTCTCACCCTCTGTACTGTGTGCGCTCCGCAGGGTTGTGCACGGCATGCTGGTGCGAGGAGCTGAGCTGCAGCCCGGGTCCCCTGGAGCTCATGGTTTCTCCGAGCCAGGCGGCCGTGCTCGACTGCCACCTCACGGGCGAGAGCCTCGGCGCCACCCGTCCCAGCTCCGGCCGCACCGCCGTCGGCAACGTGACGTGGACTCACAACGGGGCCCCGCTGGCGGCCGACAGCCAGGCCGCGCTTGTCCTCCCCAACGGCTCGCTGGCCCTGCCGCCCGGGAACGAGGGCGTGGACGGCGGCAGCTACGCGTGCGAGATGCTCACGCCATACGGGACGCTGGTCAGCCGGCCGATCCGCCTGCGTTACGCCGGTGAGCGCTCGCGACACCACGGCGTCCCGCGCCGCGAATTTGCACTCGTCGTTAGGAGGTGCATGTGAGGCTGAGGCCCCCGTGATGCCATTACTGGGAAGTTGGGAATTGTGCTCTGGGATGTATTCTAGTGGACTGATTGCCCTTGCTGGTGTGAGGAGCTAAGAGCTATTGCTATGTACCATACACAATCTTCTATACCTCCGTTGTGATAACTTTTTAGTTGTTTATACCTTTTGTTTTGATAACATTTCTTGATTTGTTTATTCATTTTTTATTTTCTGAGGGTTTTAATTTTATTAATAATTGTTAGAAATAGGTTTTATCCATTAGTGTGATAATACATGTATTTATTATGAGGCGTTGTGAGGTGCAATTACCATGAATGACGCAATATAAACGTAAATTTTTATTTTTGTTCACTGCCATGGAAACGATAAGTGACAGATCACTTTATTTCCTCGAGGTCACAGCGAAAACGCGTCTCTGAGTGAACTCGCTTTGTTTTAAATCTGCGTGACGCCGTGTCGGATTTGTCAGCCGGCCGACGTACCGTGCAAACAGCAGCATGTCGCGCGCTCGCAAAATATCTCCAGTTATGCCTTGTGCTGACTGTAAGCGAAATCAAAATAACACGATAATTTCCAACGCTTTGTTAACCTACTGCTGGATGAAGGAGTCCCCATGCCATGTCGATCATGGGCGATCGCTTGAGACCAATTGAAATCTTAAAATAATATACTGTCCATATATATTTATTAATGGCATTGTAGTAAAGGACACACAGCATTCAAGGTTCAAATTAAACCATGTGACCGCAAATGATGATGAGTTATTGACTGCTGCCCTGACCTGAGCCACAAGCGTCGACCCAGCCCATAGGTTGTAGAAGGAAGGAAGGAAGTTGCATCTAATTGGGCAGGAGAATGAGTGTAAGTGAAAGCTGCAGGTCGCGGTGGGAGTCGAGGAGGCTTGGCCTAGGCCCTGGATGACGCGACGTGGATTAGCGGTGGCCGCATGACTCCCGGCATGCGGTCATCACGTGCCGCCCTGGCACGGAGCTCAAACGCTCAATCATGCGGCTCCCCTAATGAATTTTGAGAATCTCGGGCTGAGGGGCGGGAGAGGGTGGGCGACAGCATGGGGCTGCGAAGGGAAAGGCGGGAGGGCAGGCGAGGGTGGAAAAAGACTACCTGTCACTCTCCCGTCCTTTTAAGCACGCAGATGTTCAGGGCTTGCGTCTGAACGCCGCGAAATGAATTACTCGTGATGTCTCGCGGTTGACAGCCTTGACGTGCATGCTTTGTAGTAACTCGTCGGTTACCTTAATGTAATTCTCGTAGTTCAAATAATATCACCTCTATCTGCGTGTTCGGCATCGGTCCAATGCCTCACCGCAATTAACGTGATTCATGTAGATTTGCGAAGGGGATTTAAGTTGGCGAGACTTGTACTAAAAAAAGAAATCACGCTCGTTAGAAGTACATTTTTTATATATATATTTTAAGGTATCATTAAATTGTTAATTGGCCGCAGCCGTGTCCCTACTGGGCACACGCGAGGAATGCTGGAGAAATAAATGGTCATCGTTTTGCATTTGAGCTTCGGCACGTGAGGAATGGGAAGGCGTGCACGCCAGTCCTGTAGCGGTCAGATTGGCCACGCCGGCTCGCTCAGGGCAAGTACCGCTCAAAGGATTTCTGTTCGTGGAGAGTAAACAACAAAAAAATGTGACTACATTCATAACTGTTAGTTCTTTCAGTAAAGTCACGTCGAAAAAAATTAAATAATTTAATTTAAAATAAATGATTGAATTTCTTTCTACGTGACTTTACCGAAAGAACCAAAGAGTAATTCCTGCAGTCACGAAAGCTTTGAATCCACATTCATAACATAACGGTAATGTATACAAACTTACGTGCAAAAATATCACAATAACTAGGGTATAAACCTCGACTAGAGGTTTCACCTACTCTGACCAGGTTGTGAGGATCTATGCAATAACAACATCGGCGTCTTCTCTCGTGTCCTGTATTTAATCAGATGAGAAACCAACAAGATGCATCCACACCCTTTCGTTTTGTACGGGGGACAAATGTTTACGTGATTTTGTTTTGTAAGTAAAGTATCAATAGAGTCGTAGTTCCGAAAGGCAGTGCCAATGTTTTATTGTTGCTTAGTAAAGCGTCGATGAGTCGCATGACTATGCCAGGGGGATCCTGGCATTGCAATGTTTGGCCTTTAACTGCATCACTATGACTCTGCCCAATCTTGCCTGATCTTGGACGCTAAGCGGGATTGAGCTCGGTTAGTACTTGGATGGGACACTACCTTACACCACGACAACATGAACTACCAGGTTGTTGTAGGTTTGGGTTGTGAGGTAGCGTATGTGATTGTACAACATTAGATTCTTCATCAATCTGTGCATATCGGTTTTATTCTGGCCACTCTGGTTTCCTGACTCATACAAACAAAAAAATAATTAATGGCATAGACCAAACATTTCAATGCAGGACCCTCCTGAAAAGAGCCTTGAGACTTTGTGAGGATTTCCTGATCATGGCCATTATCGAAGTTGTTTTAAAATATATTAATATATAATTAATTTTACAACATTTATATGCAGTGTATATATATACATACTTATTATTCAAGCATTATTCAGTGCTCATCAGCAGTTTAAAAAAAATAAGATAATGCAGACACAGTCCCAGCACAGGTACGATGGCTCAGCCGCCGTTGAAGAGGGAGACCTATCTGCCGCTTGCCGCCGCTGCTATTTGCCGAGCAAATCGAAGCGTCAGGAATCACAAAGGTCTTGCTCTTCCTGGGATTGGTGTCTCCTGGGACACAGCAGCAGAAGGGTCAAGGGGGGGGAGAGGCAAGAGATGTCTCTCCTAGGATCACAACTCAAACGGCATATCTATCGGCGGACGGGATGAGATGACTGTTAGCCAAGCATGCGACCAATATCCGATCCCGCATGGCAGCGCCTGCCTCAACAAACGCAGTGCAGGAGAAAATAGAACACGGCGGCCGTTGAGAAGCCCACCCTTCAACTCTCTCTCACACACACACACGGGCCCTGCGTGTGCACGTGCGTGCGCTCCTGCCACAGCAACACTGCCGATTTGGGGCCCACCGGAGATCACAATGGGGAGGTGGGAATTTACACAGTCTGTGTAAATATACAGCGGGACAGCCAGGTCCGATGTGATTGATCTGCGACTGATTCCATGCTTTAAGTTGAAAGCTTCTGGCTCGGAGCTAAAATGGTGACTCTTAAGTTGACCAAACCTCACTGTTAACAGCTGCCGGGGGAGGAGATGGGAGCAGGGGGCTAGACGGGGGGGGGAGGGAGGGAGGGCTGTACCGGGGGAGGCGAAAGAGACACGCTTGTGTTTCAGAGGCAGGTTTTATGAGCCCGCGGGGTTGGGTTCCAAACGCAAAAAACAAAGCGCGGGCGACGTTCAACCGCACAGCCGGATCACAATACCGGCCACAAAGCGGTGCTCGTGGGAGGGTGGCGCACTGCGCCTGCTGGATTTAGGGGGAGTTAATGGGAATTCATGGAGGGTTCTGTTTGAAAAGTGGTGGGACTCTTTGGCAGAGCGCCGTGGCATCGCGCTCTGTCTTCGCTCCCGGGTCCTGTTAGGGAAACATATTTCGTGTTTACTTTCTTCACAAGTTGCAGTGGAGGCTTCGTTAATTGCCAGGGTTTTAGTTGTGAGTTGTGCGGTGGCGAGCGATGGGAGGTGGGGGTGGTCGGCACTTGGAGGGGGTGGTGGCGAGGGGGGGAGGACTGGGGTGGGTGGTGGGGGGGACACTTGGAGGCTGGGAATGCCTTGGCCTTGGCACGAAAAAAAAAGAGGGAGTAAAAAGATTCCGGAACGACAGGTCAGCCTGGGTCGTGGCAAGCAGCCAGATTCAATGACTTTCATCTGCCAAAATGGCTTGTTTAGTGAGGCCTCATTGGCCAGGGTCACAGGGCGTAGGGTGCAGGCCACGGGAACATTCCATTTTCATGGTGGGACGGTGGCAATTGTGGGGGGGGGGGGGGGGTCGCACAGGGGTGTAGGCCGGACTAATAACCGGCACGCTGGCCGTGCGTTGTCCCTGTTTGTACTTTTTTTTGTAATTGGCCGGGCGGTTACAAATAGGAGTGATTAGAAGAATTTTACAAAAACCGGGTCTGTTGAAAGCAACCAGATGTAAAAAAGGAAAAAAATTTCCCTAAATACACACACTTCACGCGATTCATAAACACGAGCCACACCACTTCTTCTGAACTGTCTTTGCTCACGATTTTGTTTTCTATTTGTGCATGTGACCCCCCCACCCACCCCCCACCGTGAGCAAGAATTAGAAATATTCACAATTTGCATTTTATAGCAAAGCTAGTTGCGATATATATTGTATAAAGCTGAACTCATACGTTAATTCGTATTGAAATAATTGTAACTCAGTCACCGGACACTGCGCTGGTGTAAAGGATGGTGAGCACGCTTGACTGTGCAATGAAATAGGTCACCCGTTCGATTTGATCTTCCCGTACGGCAGTTGAAACGCTGGGCAAGCTTCTTAAATCTCGCCGTCACTGTCCAAGCAGCAGTATAAATGGAGGCAACCACAGTCGATCGCGTGTGGTGGGGTAAAGGGTGATTACTCCCACCTTTTTCTCATGTCTGGCCAGCGTTGAAAAAGAGGAAAAAATACTCTCTAGAGGGGCTGCCTAGAGCTTCGCTTAGCGGAGGCCCTTCCTACAGCAGTGGCGTGAGCAAGACATTGCAGAGCTCAACCTTTAACTCTTTATAATTCACTCATTCAGCATTTCCCCAAGGATGGGTACACCGGGATGTTTTTGGCAGAACGTTTGGTGATTACTGCCAGGGGTCAGCAACCAACATCACAATAAAATCCAATATTTTTCGAATTTGGTAAAAAATAAAAATTATTCAAGAGCCGCAATGCAACGTGGTGGTCCTTAATAGATAACG